TTGAATGGCTGACCTTTCGATTAGCAGTCGAGTACTTAACCACTGCACCACCAGGGCTCCCTGATTCAATGGAAGAATAAAGTAAGAATTAAAAAAAAAAATGTTATTGTCATATATTGAGAACTGAGTGGGAGGGAAGAAGGGGCAGGGGCTGAAGAGGGCCTCAGTGTCAAAGACTGAACGATGGTGCCTGACAACCTTCTGCCAATTTCCTCCCAAACCAAAGGGCTACCTCAGCTGAGTAGCAGGTGGTGGAGAACTGAGGAGACCAATCAGGGATGACTCAAGCCAAATAAAGAGATGAGGTGGCACCAAGGAGTCCTTCCAATGCCCATCTCTTCTTCTGAATTTTTTAAAATTAAGTAAAGTGACACTGTACTACAGGAATCCTTAGTTATTTTCCTATTTGCTAGCTGATAATTCAAGGAACCCTACTGGCACAATGGTTAAGCACTTGGCTGCTATCCAAAAGGTTCAAACCCACAAGTTGCACGGCAGGAGAAAAGACCTGGTGATCTGCTCCCATAAAGTTCACAGTCTAGGAAACCCCACAGGGGAGTTCTACTCTATCTTTATAGTCAGAGTCACTATGAGTCAGGATTGACAACAACAACAACAGCTGATAATTCACTTTGACAGTAGACAACACTATGTACCAAAGGGGAGGGGGGATCCGAATTGCTGATAACATTGTAGATAAATAGTTAATGACATGAAAAGATATTCATGATATAGTGATATGTGGAAGACAAAACATTGTTACCAACACTATATGTAGTATATTCTATTTTTGTTTTTAAAATTTGTATGCATGTGACATGATTAATTGCACATGTGAAAAACACTGATTGGCAAACGCTGTTACATGTAGTTTTACAATAATAAAAAATTATGTGTGTGAAGAAACAACTGCAAGTATGCGCACCAAAATGTTAACAGAGGTTAACACGGTAATGCACTTGTGATTGATAACTTGTTCTTAACTTCTTGGCATTTTTGTAAAAAGACATTTTTATTTTTGTAAGAATAAATAGCAAAGTTTTTAAAATTGAAAAACATGTTGTCTTACATTAAAAAAAAATTATTTTTTAATCTTTTTAAGCTCTATTACATTGGAAAAACTACCTCCCTGGGATACTCATTTCATAATTAACTCTTCCATCTTATTTCTTATTTTGGGTCAGCATTTCATTCGTAACAGTCTCCAGACGCAGCCATTTAAAAAAATTAGTGTTTCCCTCCTTTGACAAAACCCACCACCCCACCATCTTGATTACTGCTCTCCAACTCCTCTGTCCTATCATCCTGCTTGGCAAAAACCTCAGGGATGAACACAGAAACTCTACACCATGCTGGGAGAGGAGATTAGCCCTGAGTTTTCCAGGCTGGCATGCTAGCAGCCTGTTTTTCAGAATGTTTGAGAGCAATTGCCATAAAGTGAATTTACTCCCTCATAAAATCCATCACAGTACCGGCGGGTAGGAAGTCGTCTACAAAAACGCAAAATACAGAGCTAACCACCAACCACGAAGCAGAGGAAGTGCAGTAATGTGTTCAGGCTCTAAGTCTCCATGGAGATACCTGTCCGCCTCCATCATTATTTATCATCTGGGTCTCTAGTTACCATAGGAGAGAAAAGAGCCATGGATTCAACTTGTACTGGCTTCAGAGACACCACAAATACATTAATACACTTCTTGGCCCACACTGTGAGCAGAGTTATCCTCTGGTACCACAAAATTAGGCTAAGAAATCTGAGAAACGAATGAGATTCACAGTTGTTGCTTGAAAGGTTGAGAGGCCCTCAATCACTCAGGTCTAGAAAGACTAAGAGGTCCTCCCTCATCACTCTTGTTTGCCAGGACGTCTTGTCCTCTTCCTTTACAGCCCCTTCCTGCTCTCCAGGGAACAGCCTCTCATGCTGACACAAGATGATGCCAGACTACTTACCGGATTTTTTTTTTTTAAAGTAAAAGGGGCATTCATTTTCTCTCTAGTATGTACAACGTCACATTTTAAATTAGACATTATCTCATTAATAAGAAAAAGAAATACATTGGGGCTGAGGCTGGCCCTTGAGACAGACCAGCTCTTCCATCTACAACATATGCCTATTAGGAAATAGCAGGACAATGACTTCAGTTTATCTGTTGTGACGGTAGGAGAAATGGACTCAGTAATTAAAAAAAAAAAAGATTGCTTTAGACTAGAACCAGTCTCACAGATCTTGTCTATACCTAAGTAATAGATAATGTTCATTTCATAAAAGACGATGACAATGTTAGTGAAGAAATCACTCGTGATGAAACTATACTATATGCACTGAAGTTCTTATTTTTTTTCTCAAACGTACTATTTTGTGGAGCACATTTTAATAGTTATAGTCATATGCTGGCTTAAAGAAGAGTCAGGATAAAAGGTTTAAAAGAACAAAAAAACCTACTGTCCCTATGGACTTTCATATATATTATCTCACTCTGTGGTCAAAAATACTTGATGAATCTCAGGTCTTGCTTAGATTATACAACTAGTGTGTCATAGGGCTTAGATTTGTATTCGTGCTTCTTAGCTAGGTTGTATAATTTGACTGTAACTCTGAAGTGGAATGGCCAAGTAGTTCTTTCCTCTCATCAGACCCAAAAAGCTAGGGCTTGTTGGAAAAAAGGGTATAAAAGGAGGCTACTTGCACGATGTATCTCATACCATCTTTCTTTGTGCTATTTTATAATCTGGGCAAAACTAGAATCTACAAGCAACCTTAGGTCATAACAACGAGAGGAAGAAATGGCAATGCCTGTTACTCAACTATGTGTACGCAATGGTACTGAAGACACCACCATTTACAATGAGTCAGTACTTCCTGGAGCTCCCAGGGGGAAGTAGAAATGTGAATCAAGTCCAACCCCCAAGATACTTCATCAATCTGCCAGCATTACTTCTTACTTAACCAAACCTAATGTACTACTCCCTCCCTGGCCTTTTACAGATGAAGAAACTGAGGCCCAGGGGTCGAGGGACCTTTAAAGTCACAGAGTTGGCTGGTAGCAGAACTAGAATCCAGGTCTTTGAGTTTCCAACTCTGTGCTTTTGCCAGTCCACTGCCGCCTGTCTAATATATATTACAGATGACAGTGTTAGAAGTCATAATAGCAGTCACCATTTATAAGCAGCTTACTAGAGGCCAGGGACTGTAATAAGTGTTTTACAATGGAATGATTTTATATAATCCTCAGAATTACAAACCTACAAGGTAGATGAGGAAACAGAAGCTCAAAAACATGACACAACTTCTCTAAGGCCCCACTAGAGGTAAGTAACAGAGCTGGGTTTGAGTCCAGGTCTCTCTGAAACTAAAGCTTAATGTCTATACCCAAATGCCTCTTCCTGCTCATGACGCTTGGTGAAAATTGCAGTGATTAAATATGAACAGCTGGCATATCTGCTTATTATTACAGTTTTTTCCATTAGTGGCTTTACAGAAACAGGATTCACAGAAAGGTGACACAATTAACCTGTCTCTTCTTACCCTCTCAGTGCTAATGCCTGAGAGTTTCTCAGAAGGGTGAAAGGCCTTACTCAGTCTAAATCTGTTCTGGAGATACAAACACCCGAGTATAATGTAACAGGCAAGTAGACTAATAATAAAATATACAAATTTGTTAGCTAATAAAGTTATAGTTTCCCAGGTAATACTTTGGTGTTTAGAGGTAGTGCCTCTAGTCAACAAATTCTGATACACACAAGGTGGCTGAAGAGGTGCAGGCCAGCCCCCGAGCTTGCACCACTCACTGCTGTCTGTATTTACATATTCAGTGGCCCCGCCCTTTTTTTCATTTGTTGATGCTAAGAGCATGACTCTTAAGAATTAGTGCCTTGCAAACACTAAGAAGAAAGACTTGATTACAGCTTTCTCCAAGTCACTTGTACTTAAACTTAGGATGACATCTTGGGGGTACCTACTATCACTTGGACACATCATTTAACCTCTCCAGATTGCAGTTTTATTTTATTTTTTGTTCAGTAATTACAGATTCGCTTCATTTTATTTTTTAATTAAACAGTTAGTACACATATTGTTTTATGACATTAGTTAACAACCCCATGACATGTCAACACTCTCCCTTCTCGAACTTGGGTTCCCTATTACCAGCTTTCCTGTCCCCTCCTGCCTTCTAGTCCTTGCCCCTTGGCTGGTGTGCCCCTTTAGTCTCATTTTGTTTTATGGGCCTGTCTACAGATTGCAGTTTTATTATTACTAAAATGAGAGGCAATCTGAGGTTCCTTTTACCTCAAAAATTCTATAGTATATTACTGCTGATAAAATAAGACTTTCAAAACGAACTTTCTACCATTCCTTTTTGTTCATTCCCCCCCTTCTTTTCTTTTGTTCCAGCTCCTGTTATCTCCATTCAACCTCAAGCACATTTCTTCACAAATACCACCTTATCACTCCCTCACATTTATTAGTAATAGTACTAAAGTGATTTTTTTCCACTCCAAGGAAATGTATAATCTTAATATGAATCAGACTACAATGCAGAGAGCATTAATGTGGAATTAAGACATGTAAGATTCAGGTTAAAAAGGTATAGAGCATATTCATGTGATTTAATATTCTTTAGAAACCACAATGGCAGATTTTAGTGAAGAGATTCTAAACCGTTATTAATATAAACTTAAAACTAGACCTTCTGGGAAACATCTAATTAGAGCCACAATCATAAAAAGCCACTAGCATGATCACCAAAGTTGCTTTACAAACGCTAGCAAATGCTTTTGTTTTTTTAAGATAGAGAAAACAACAAGTATCGCCATGGAGGGTTTTTTTTTTTTTTTTTTTTAGATTTAGAAAGGTGATCAGAGATAGTCATTCTAAAAGATCTTCCCACTCTCCCAAACTTTTAGCATAAAAATCATAATTAACATCTATACATAAATTGTTGAGATCTCCCCTAGAGCACTGTAGCGAACAGTAAATGAACGCTGTTTACTGTTTTTACCTGGGAAGAGCGGTGATTTTCCCCCATTTCTCCACACAGAACCTTCTTGGGCCGTTACTCCCTCGGAGAGAAGCAAATCCTTCATAGGGAATGCTAGACGTGCCTGTGACAAACTATTAACCCAAGAAAACAGAAGAAGTGAAGTCAGAGATCAGCACCATGAAAGGCGCTGCATCATGCGCGCGCAGTGTTCCCGCGGAAGAGCAGCACTCTGCTCGCTGATGGAAAAGTTTGAACAATGAAACTTTATAGCCACGGAATGATCACAACGTAAGAATTCTGACCAACAGCCAGAGAAGAAACTAAGAAAGACAGCACATTATAAAGGGAAAAGGGATGTGGAGAGTTTGTAGAACAGAAAGCACCCATGCATCTTACCAGCTCAGAACTTAAAGCCAGGGATATTTCCCATTAATAATAAAGTGGGTGTATCGATTAATCTAAGTCTATTTAAGAAGCATCAGTCCCTGATCAACTCAAGGAGAATAAAACAGAATTTCTAGGCTTGCAGATTTGAAGACCAGACCCTTCACCCAAAAGAGCAAAGGCCCAGTCCACTTGTGAGACTCTGCCTGAGCATCCAGAGGGCTTCCCTCGGCCTGACATTTCTTTAGCTGCAACCAATCAGCAATTGTTCTGAGTAATTATAAACACCATAGCGAAAATAATGAGTTCGCTTTCCCAGTATTTTCCTTGAACTTCACTGTTAACTCAACATTGTGGAGGATATACGGAAGAAAAGAAAGGGCACTTAATTACAGATCTGAGTCACTTCCTGAGGGAATGAAGATCATCTCTTTCTGCTGCTGGACGTCCTGGCCTGCAGAGTACCCTGGGACTTCTTGCCGAAGGGGCCAAGCTGCCCTGAAGGCCAGTGTTGCTATTGGGGTTCTTGGAGTGGAGTTGGCACGTCCTCACAACTCTAATCAAATACTTTGACTTGGCTGGGGATGTTCTGCACAGTGATGGAGCCACACAACCATGCAACCAGAGGAGACTGAAAATGGTGGGTTGTACATATCCAGATAAACACAGTATGTATTTATTGAGTACAGATAGCAATCATTAAAAAATACGGTTCCAATAATAATTATATTGTTGCATTAAGAAATTAACTAATGGCATCTTACCTGTAATAACCTTAGTCGTTGTTCATTGTTGAATCTTTCCACTGCAGCCCAGAACCACCGAATTACAATATGATTGTCATGGTATCCTAGCAAACCAATCATGAAAGCCCACATTACTTTAACTCTTCTATATTTAGCTACCAAGACACATGACAAAAGACCTCCACACATAAATTATCATTATCTTGGATTCTTTAAAGATTGTCTGTACTTTAAGACTAAAGAATAATACTGTAAATATGGTCATATGAGTGCCAAAAGTAAAACAAAAAAAACAAAAACCCAACAAAAACCCACTAAATGAATTCAAGAAGTTTCTGTTTTCATTTAGTGGTCACTAAATTAAACCAGTGGAGAGAAGAACAAAAAATGAGTTTTTTAAAGCCGTATCAGTTCTGAACAATATAATTGCTGTTACTGGAAATGTTTAAACCTTTTGTTAAGTTGCTCATTTCAGAAATAATTTTTGAGTACCACTATGCCAAGCACTGCTTAGAGGTACAATGGCAAATAAAACAGACCCTAACGGGGCTTCTGGTACAGTACAGACATGTTAATCAGATAATTACTCAAATAAATATATAATTACAAGCTGTTTTAAAAGCTATGCATATTGTGCATATTTTAAAGTCAAATTACTTTCACACTGACTTATTACTAAAAAGGGAAAAGTGGCCTTTGACTCCTCCACCTAATAAATCCCAAATAATAATCAACCCAAATGTTACTTTTATTCCATACTTTAATGTAATCTAATTCCCACAGGTTGGATTAAGGCAGTGTGCTAAAGTCACGTTTAGAGAGAAAGCCGACAAGGATTACAGTACAACTGGTGATTCAAACCAATTACTGGAAATATCCAATGTGTACAAAAACTACTCGGATTCTTTGTCAGCAGACATAATTACAAAATAGAAAGTGAGTAGAGACCAAAACTATTTTAATCCGAATTTTTCCTCATACTTTTCAGCGGCTTGTAGGATTTGGGAGGAATCTTGCCTTGTTGTTTATCATTTGGTCAGTGATGTTTAGGCCCCTTTGGAGAAGAAAGGGATCCACATGAAAGGCTAAACAAAACAGGACTGGACATGGAGATGCATGGGTCCATGTCCTTCCTACCTTTGCAAATACTAGCTATTTGGTCCTGAGCAAATAGTTTTCTCATCCTTAAAGAAGTTCATTGGCCCTCATAGCTTTAAACTTTTCTGACCTTATGAATCAGCCCTTTTCTGCTTCTCCTCTACTGCTTGTGCCAAACATTTTGGAGGAGGAGGAGCGAATATGTCTCACTGTATTCTCTACAAATAGCTGCCGTGTGAACATATGGCAAGTGGTGGCACAGCAGCTTCTTCATTCACTGCCAACCAGCTGAGTTAGCAAACATGGCAGCTGAGTAGCTCACCCTCTTCTTGCCCCAGCCACCCAGTACTCTCCTCCTCCCAAGGAATCTGCTAGATAAGATATACAATAAAATTAGAAATAGGTACTTAATTAGCCATATACAGTGAATAAAAATTTATATTGTGTAAATAAAAAAATGCTTGATTTGATTAATTCAAATTAATTTGGCAAACTGCGTTACTATTAAGAACGAGTTAATATTCACGGAACAATGTAAGCTTTATAGCATATTGGGGAAAACTGTGTTCTAATTAGCAAAAGTAGTTTGGTTAAAAAGATATTAACTAAAGTCACATAGGGATTATACATGGGTCAACTGGAAAATACTTATTACAGCAATTGGATTTGAGAAATAGCAGCAGTGGAAACTGCAACTTAATACCACCTTTCAGAGAGAAAGGGAGAGCAAGGCGAGCCCTCAGCACCAGTGATGAACTGGAAGAGCGAAGAACAGGCCAAACAAAAGCCATTTAGCGTATGTTTAAGGCAATTTTACTCCAAACTTTAAAAACTGTTCTCTTTCTCTGTTTCAACCTATAGCTAATTGGAGAACTGTTCAGCTCTTAAGTTTATTTTGGTAAGTAACTGATTCAGCGAATTAAAATTTGTCTTTTTTCACTCTCCAAGTTCAGAATTATAACTTCTTAAATTTTGAATTAAAATCAAACCAAAACAAAACAAAAAACAACTGGTATTTGTCATGAATTTCTGAAGACTTTCTGACTTGTAATACATTTCACAAAAAGTATTCTTTCTTTCCTTAAAATTAATTAAATTAAACTAATCAAAACTTTAACTCTGGATTACCCTTCCAATGTATTGATTTGGCAAATGAATTTCAATGACTTTGGTACTGGTTGCTAATTGAAACTTTGTACTGATCTACAGATATGCCACTGGTGAAGTCTCAGATAACACAGTTTTTAGCTAATATTATAATAGTTTACTTTTCAATTGAACTTAATGCTTGGATTTAGAAAGGCTTCTTCAAAAAATGATTTGAATTTTGAGAACCATGTCTTATTCTATTGAAGTATTTCAGCTTTGAGTTACAACTGGTAAGTAGTTCAACAAAATGTAGAAAACCTATGTTTGCACACTAGGAAGCTCAAAGGATGTGTCTCTTCAAGTTTTAGAATGAAGGTGGAATAGGTGGGGTTTGACCAGCTGGATATTAGCTCCATGGTGCTTCACTAACAACACCATAAAGCAATTAATTAGTGTTCCTATGGTCACATTTCCTCATCAACAATTAAAGAGTTATGACATCCTTCGATGATGTGTAAACAGTCCTTCTCCCATTAGACAGATGAGGTAACTAGGAAGAGAAGGGAATGTTCCTTGCCCAGGGTCTCAAAGGAGACGACATCAGACCTATGATTAGAGTGCAAGTGCTTTTTTGCCTGTCCTGCATTCAGTTCAGCGATGAGGAAACATCTGGCACCTCCCTTTAATTCGAAACTTAAAATCCAGCCATCTATAAATAAAAATTTTCACCTCCTCTATATTCTGTGTTGTTTCTCCAGTCACTTAAGTCTATTTCAGCTGTGCCTGCAATGACCAGTTCCAGTTCTCTCGCATCAAAAACAGATACCAGCCTGGCATCCACCACCTGTGGAATAAAAAGAGTATAGGGCATGGCTTAAGAACTCGGAGAATCTCAGCTACACTTAAGGCTCATCAGAACAGGAGGGCACAAAAAGTTTTGGGAAATAATCTGGGTGCACCCTGTGTAGTAGGCACTTTAAAAACTGTAAAGCTCTCTATAAATAAAAAAAAAAAACAAAAAAAAATATAAAATTTATGTATTTATTTTAAATTTTATTTTGTTATTGTCATTGAGAGTAGACACAGCAAAACATACACCAATTCAACAGTTTCTACAAATATATTTTTAGGATAAGTTTGATAGATTGGCTTTAATAGAATTTTTGTCTTATAATTGACCACTGATTAAAACGGTTTGTTTTTCTCTTTTGAAAAAGAGCTGGTACTCTTAAGAGTTACATGGAATACATGTAACAACTCACTCTGGCCCTCAGGTATCATCATTTCACATGTCAAGCATGAGATTGGATTACCTGTATATTAGTATGGATAAGATGCATAACTTAAATGTTATAAGTGGTCATTAAATCATCATCAAATCCAGTTTGAAGTCAAGTCTTAACATTTTTTCAATGATCTTTTGTAATAGTCATTTAAACTTTTTTGTGTTCTTGAAACAAATAGGAAAAAGCATTAGAGTTTTAAAATTGAACTAGCACCAGTAAATACAGCAAAAGGGAAATGGAAGTATACCACACATATAAAGTATAATAAGATGGACCATAGCATCACTGATATCTGACTACAAAAGCCCACTACTGCTGATTGTCTTTACCTCATAGAAGCCACGCACTAAGCTCTCTGTTTGTTGTACAACACCCCTCTCAATCCTCCATTTCACCATCCTCTCGATGTATTCCTTCTTGTTCTTCTCTGTGACTGGGATATTGGCACCCCCTGGCTTCAATTCTCGTTCGGTAATCTGAAATTAAAAAACAAAAGGACTGACCATAAAGCAATACTCCTGATGTTATAAGAACACTGCTCCAGTGAGTGAAATCAGGTAGCTAACTGCCCCTGATCTGCTCCAGGCACTTCCCACAAGCGGATAGCACGCACAGAACACATTCTGTCAAGGGGCACTTTGTGCTGAGACATACACACAGCAACGCTTAGCAAAAACTAGGAGTGAGCTGATGTTTGAAAGCTTCAGTTGTTAAAAAGAAAAATGTTTTGCAAGAGATGAATGTTAAGTTTTAAATCCTGACTAAAAAGTTAAATATTTTAAATGAAGATGAATTGGCTCCAGGATCTGGTCCACTGCTCTTTGAATGTTTGATAAAAACATATTTTCACAAACTCCTCGAGGGTTCAGAATTGACTATGTATACAAAGCCAATATTTAAGATTTATTTTAAGGAAGCAGAATTATGTTCAAGTAAATGTTAAATTGAGAAATTCTTTTTCAAAGCACATGAAATTCAGAAGACTACCCAAACAATGTCTAAATAAGAATCTTACTTATAACCTAATACATTATTTCTGAAAGATATTTTAATATACTCTCCCAACAATTTTGAAAAGAACAAAGTTTTCAAACCTCCACCAAAATATTGTTCACTTTCCCTCAGCTTCAAAACAATTTCACTTCTTAAATCTGAATGATAGGTAAAAGTACAAATGTCAATTAAGTAATTTAATATTCGACTTTGAGATAGTGTAGACTTTTAAAAACTGTATTCCATACAAGGCACATTCTGATATCTTCTGTGGATATTTTAGTTGGAAATAAAAATAATATTGATTACAATACTCAAATGTTTATAAGTTAGAACATCTTAATCTGCAGTTGATATTAGAATAATCTTTGCAATCAATATTATTAAAACTGTACACGAACCTGGGTTTAAATCACCAACCCGTTGCTGTCAATTTCAATAGACTAGAAATGCCCCACAGGGTTTCCAAGGCTGTAATCTTTACAGTAGCAGACTGTCACATCTTTCTCCTGCTTAAATCACCAAATAGGTCATAAATGAGTAGGTGTCTGATTCTTAGCCACTGAATTAATTCTTCTTCAACAACCAATAGCATTCAATTAACACACTCAGCCACTGGTGTTCACATTCACAGACCTGCCCAAAAACTTCTTCGTTCACAGTGAACGTGAGGTCCAGGATGTCATGGATATCGTTATCTTTCATCCACTGCAGGCTCTGGTGGAACTCTTCATCAAGATATTCTAGATCACTCAGGTCACAGAGACTAAGATGACAAACAGACAGAAGCAAATATGCAGGCATGACTATTAGCAAAAACCCGAGTCATGAGGGAAGAAATGAAGGATTAAATGCAAGTTCCAGATCAACTAAATAGGCAGTGATTACTGGAATCTTTTTAGTTAAGATCAGTAACCAAACTAGTGAAATAATTCAGAAATTTGGCATAAAATTTGAAAATCCTGTGTATATAAGATGCCTTAGGAATCAATCTATCCCTTCTTTTACAGCTACAGAACTGGAAGTTCATGGAGTAGTAGTCATTTATTTAGTTACTCACACCTAATGCCAGAGCAGGAAACTGGAACATGGGTCAACAAGTTGGGTTCAGTATTCTTTTCAGCCACATTATACTACCGTAAAATATTGTTCTTCTAATTTGAGATTACATATGTTTCTATGCTGTAATTTTTTTTTAAGAGACTACATTCTACGATTTTATGTTCACATACGTCCCCTTTCTCCTTCATGGTTCTTATTCTTTCTGTGAGTCTGTGAACAGCAAGCCATAGAATCTCTTTATGATTATAATGGACTTCTCTATTTCTCCCTTCTTTCTTTTCACCGCAGAGGGAGGACCTACATAGGTGGAGTTAGTAATATATGGCACTGTTGTCAGGTGGTAGCAACTGATTTACTTTAGTTGTTTTGAAATTTCCCTGCTATCAGTCCAATTTCAATTCGGTTCTGTTCAGTCTAAACATTTACTGGGCATCAACTCTGTGCTAGACATTGTAATAATTACTTGATGACTAGTACTCAGTTACTCAGTCACCTCCTTCAAGGAGTTCATGGTCTAGGTGGGGAGACACGTGCACAAATAGATTTGTTAATATAAGGTAATAAGTGATAACATAGAGTGGGTAACGTGCACTTTTTTGTATGTATGTTACACTTCAATTTAAAAAAAGGTAGCTATGGAGCACTCACTCTCAGAGAAAACATGAAGGACACTTGCTTCTACCTGAAGATTCAAAAAACACTTTTGGAGCAGACGATACCTACATTAAATCTTGCAAGGTGTTTAAAAGTTAGATAGGTAAAGGGGACCAGATGAAAATGAGAAGATGGGGAGAAGAAAGAATGAGAAAAAACACAAACAAAGCACAAAGGCATGGAGTGTATAGAATACTACAAGTATACTGGCAGTACTTGAGAGTAAAGCATAAGACAGAATTTCCAGAGAATTCGATGGCTGGAAAGGTAGCTGGGAGCAGGCCTTGAGTGTCATCTAAGGAACTTGGTGATTAAGAATTACTGAGAGGTTTTATGACAGGGAACGACATGGTCAGATGTGAGTTTTAAACAGTTCCTCTGGAAGTCATAGTGTAGAGATTTAAGAGGTGGTGGTGGTGGTGGTGGTGGTGGTGGTGGTGGTGGTGGAATTATCATTAGAGGGCAGAGACAAATCAATAGACCATATAGGGTGCCTATGACTCAGAATCAACTCAATGGCAATGGGTACAGTAATCTGGCCAAAATAAGATAAGGGTTTTAATTATGGCAGGGCTATTAAGGGTGAAGAAAAGATGAATTTGAGAATTACTTAGGAGGAAATATGCAGAAATCAGTAAATGATTTTATGCGGTGGGGGGGGGGGGGGTATAAAGAACTAAAATTGGGGTGGCAAATAAACTCATGTTGCAAGCCAATTTTGTTTAATTGCCAGTACGGAGTGCTATATGTTAGAAAGATTTCTAAGGCTACAATGAGTTCAGCAGGTGTCACAGACTGAATTGTGTCCCCTACAAAATATGTGTCAACTTGGCGAGGCCATGTTCCCCAGTATTGTGTGATTGACCACCATTCTGTCATCTGATGTGATTCTCCATTGTATTGTAAATCCTATGTCTATGATGTTAACGAGATGGGATTAGCGGCAGTTATGTAGACTCAATCTACAATTTAAGCCAATCTCTTTTGAGATATAAAAGAGAGAAGTGAACAGAGAAAAAGGGGGACCTCATACCACCAAGAACAAAAGCCAGGAAAACAGTGCATCCTTTGGACCTGGGGTCCCTGTGCTGAGAAGCTCCTCCACCAGGGAAGACCGATGACAAGGACCTTCCCCCAGTGCCAGCAGAGAGAGAAAGCTTTCCCCTGGAGCTGACACCCTGAATTTGGACTTCTAGCCTACTAGACTGTGAGAGAATAAATTTCCCTTCTTTAAAGACTTCCACTTGTGGTATGTCTGTTATAGCAGCACCAGATAACCAAGACAGCAGGAAAAAGTACCATAAATGATTTGTTATATACACTATGGGAGTCAGGTGGGAGGTGGAAAATGGTGGAACACATGCTATATATTTGCCATCCCTGGTTGCAGTGACTCACTATTTCTGGCCAGAGTGATTTGAGAATATTGGTACTGTTAATGGGAACTGGGTACATGGGAGGAGGTACATATCTGGGTCAGGAGAAATCGGCCTGCTTTTAACCATGTTCATTTGAGGTGCTGTGGGACATCCAAGTGGAAATATTCAATGGACTGTTGACCATTTGAATCTACAATGTAATAGAGATGAGGACTGGTGGTATAGACTTGGGAATCAGCAGGAGATGAGACAGGTGAGATTTCTCCAGGACAGCATGTAGAGAGAGAAAAGTAGGGGCCCAAGAATGGAAGCTTCAGGAACACCAAGATTTAAGGGCAAGACAGAGGAGAAATCCACAAAGGAGACAGAAAAGTAAAAGGAGGACCAGGAGAGAGTACAGTGTCATGGGTGCCAGTGGGGTTGGGGTGATCAACAGTACCAAGAACAGCAGAATGGTTTCTAATGGGTTTTCAGGTCTAGGGACTAGAAGGTATTCTTTCGAATTGTCATAGGTTACTTATGGGAAGGAAGTTAGGCTACAGCATTTTGGGGGGTATGAATTTGATGTAGGGAAGGATTTAGATAGTCAATAAAGATTGTTCTGCCAAGAAGCTTAACTGAGAAGATGAGAGAGATGAGGCAATGACATGGGAAGATGCAAGTGGGCCATAAGGAACCAGAGAGGCATAAAATGGCCCTTGTTGTCCAGTGCTTCAGCCCACAGAAGCGTTTTCCTACTTATCCTCTCTGAGGACCCATTAGAAACATTTTGTTTGCTTAAGGCCCTTACACTTGAGGTCTAGGCTTCCATTTTACAGAAGGCACATGGGCGCAAGGTATGTGGCCTCAGCTGGGGAATGAGCTGGACAGAACCAAGCAACACTTCTGTGCTTTCTCATTGCACATCTGAGCTACTATCCAACAGACAGCTGCTCTTGCCTGCTCAGCCACTGATTATAGCACAAAAACTATTTGCTCCACATTTTACAATGATTGCAAGTTTCCATTGTGGTAACAATGAATTAAAAGTTCGTGGACACTACATATAGGGAGGCCTCAAGAAAAGCATGTCACTGCCCTCCCCTAACAGACAAAACAAAGGAGAATGAAAACTGAATCAAGAGTAAGCAGTTGAAAGTTTCTATGAAGCAAAATATAAAATACATCTAATAAAGAACAGGGGGCTGTGAGTCACCAAGACTAACCCACAACTATTCTACTAATAATCGGCATTAATACTACAAAAATTTAAATGTTGTATTTGAAGTGCAATTGTTCTGAAGGAACATATGTTGCAACAAATGAGAATAAATTATTTGGAGTAGAGCAAAACTAAGACTTTGGGGGCTAGAGAGGAATAAAGGGTCACAAGTAGGAAAAACACAGAAAACACTTGAAATCATTCATTTCAGAAATGTAACCTACTATTCAGTTTAATAACAACAAATTTGAGATACTGAACAGATAAACAATGACTCTGACAAAAGACAAGAAATACCGTATTTTTACATGCGAATTATGCAAACAATAAAAATACTCTTACATTCTGAGAAGAGCCTTATAAAATGGCCGTGTGAAGAAGGCATCCAACAAATACTGGTGAATTAGTGCAAGACCAAGGATGCGACCACTGAACCGAAACCTGAGAAGGAAAGGTATGAGATAGCTTACATACCATGGAGCAATTTCTAAATGGTTCGATTTGCTTTCTAAAATGCCTTCCAGCATCTAAGTTTGTCCAAGACTACTTGCCTACTAGGTCCATGAGAATTTGCGTGTACCAAAGGCTGTCTTCATTAGGCCAACAATTCGCATCTACTTCATGAAGAAATGTTTCAATCTGATATTTAGAGAAACAATGTTCTACCTTCACCCCATGTCAATAACGTCCACCATGTAGTACCCCATATTGCCCACATGAACTCCCCACTATTATTTCAGTGAAATTTCCCTAAACCGCTTCTAAAAGATGTTGAACAAACGAGCCCAATGCTACGAGGAAAATTAGCAGGATTTCTCTAATACAGGCTCAGTAGTAATTCCCTTTTGAGGAAAAGCCCAATCTCAGTCCCTAAACCTATTCTGTCTCAAACTCCACCCCTGATAATCATTGTCACCATCTAAGAATTATGCATATGGACATCTGGGGGAGTTTCCTCATGGGACATTCTGTTCTCTAAAATTTCAAGGCTCAATTCTATTCTGAATCACTCTGGAAACTTTATTAAATATATCTGTTATGACTGGATTTGCTGACTGAGATGTACACTTATTTCCTCTTTCGAAAGTATTAAATTTCTGGCTCTTTGAAAGTCTGATGGCTTCCAAAAGTGTAAATCCATACTGATGAGGTTCATACTGTCAGTGTGTAATTTAGTATTAGGCAGCCATTTTAAGATTAATGTCCAGCAGCTTGTTTCTCTTTATTTCCACTTGAGTTAGCACAGCTGTAATACTTACAGTTAGGAGGACTCCAAATTGTAACTAAACGGAAGTTAATTTGAAGAATAACCTCTAAAAGTTAACGTCCTCCACCCACCAATATTAACCTCATGACTCAAAGAAGCTTTTCCCATGAGTCCTATTCATGTTCTTTCTTTTGTTACTATCAGCAAAAATGAATAGGAACAAGCAAATAGGGGTTATAAAAATATTTAACATCTATAAATGTAGGGATTTAGAAAAAATTTAAGGGCCTTTGGAAGAGTGTGATTTGGGATTTTTCAGAATAAATAATCCCCAGATAGGAATCCTATATCAGTTTTCCTTGATGATTTTGTAGGAAAAACTAGAAAAGAGGCACTTCCTGATTACAAACATCAAATGGCTCACAAGTTGAGTGGCCGCTGCGGTGACTGCTTACCCCCCTCCCTTCTGGCAGGGTTCTCTTCTACCATCAGTTCCTTCACAGAAAACTGTACCCCACGCTGCTCCCCAATAGAACACCATCATCACCTCAGCCAGAGTTTCTTCAGCCAGCTGCTCCTCG